TTGCACTTGATGGTGATCGTTTTGGTCACCTTCCAGGCACTGGGAGGTTGCTCGACGATGCAAACATTGGGAGTGTGCATGGTACCTGCCAACTGTAAATGCTGCGTCGATGCTTAGGACGTGCAGGAAATTTTCGCAACCGTGGGCTCATTAGCTTGGTAACTGCCATCATCCACCGGCCATAGCTTCCATATGCAACCGTTTGTGGAACTCGTCCGTCGGCACAAGCGATCGAGGCGAGTGTCTCGCCATGAAGCGTGGTTCTTTCGGTACACAGCCCACGCAAACGATGAGGACGCTCGGCCAGTTGAGCCACATGCATGGCACGCAAAGCATCACCTATGGCAACTGGCAAGCTTGCAGTTTACTGACCTTCATGAAGGTGTGATCGATGCACCAGCGGTTGGGCCTAATACCGACGTCACTGCCGACGCAGCTTGCCGTGTAGGTGACGTCAACGCGCTGAATGAAGCACTGAACGTGACATGCACGTTGCATCAAGACAGCAGCGGGTGCACGGCACTGCATGTCGCGGCAACGCACGGACACCTGGATTGCGTTCTGCGTTTGCTGGAGCGTCCTGACGCGCGGCTCCAAATGCACGTAAAAAATGAAGCCGGCGAAACGGCGCTGCACAGTGCACTGCGGCATTCTTTGGCTGTCCGAGACAGAACCAACGTTCCATGGGCACATGAAGCCAACAGGGTCTTGACGGCCAACGTGCTTGCTTGCGTGGACGCACTGCTGGGTCAAGCCACCCCGACGCTTCTCTCCAACGTTTACGACAAGAATGGATGGTCGATTGAAGCCCTCGATTTCCGCCTGCGGTGGGTTTGGCCATTCCTACAACATAACTCGTTGACATGCAAACGTCCAGCGGGGACTTGTTTGACGCGGTAGTCGCGGGAGACGTCACCCGCCTGCGCTTTATCTTGGCCACGTACAGACCATCTGCGCTCACGCTGCCGGCGCTGCGACGGACTCTTCTCCACGAAGGTAGCCGCCTGACGCTTGAAAAATGAGTTGCGCGTTCCATGGAGCGACGCCCTAACATGATTTCGATACCATGCAGCGTGTGCGAATCGGCATGTTGAGGCAACGATCGAAGTGCTGACGAACGAAAAACTTTGCGTGAATCCGTTGGAGCCAGACACATCAGGGTGCACCGCTCTGCACGTATGCGCCAAGGGAGGGTTCGTTGAAGGGTGTGTTCTGCTCTTGGACAGTGACAAGATGGGCTCTGATACGGCTGAAACCTTGCTACTTGCCTCTGATGCCACGGGACGGACGGCGCTACATTGGAGCATCATGCATCGACACGCGGCGGCCGCGCTGTTTTTGCTCCACGTCGCTGCCCTTCACGGCGTCGTGGTCGAGTTGCTCCAACGTGTCGACGACGCTGACCACTCGCCATTGCATGTGGCTTGCGCCACCGTGCGAAGTGAAATCGACCTCGTCCTGGTAAGCCAGCCATGGGCATTCGAAACCTTCGACGCTGACGAAAATGGCCCAAATATGACGAGATGCTTCGACAGACGATGATTGAATTGGGGGCCAACGTGAACTTGGCCAGCAGGGCAAACTTGCCTCGACGGTCGAATCTATGTCGTCGCTCTTGGCCACGTGAGGGGGCTGGTGGGGTGTTGGCAAACTCGCCGCATGACCTGCCTAACCGTGTGAAAACTGCACTCGAATCCACGTACGGCGGTAGCTTCCATCACATCACGTCCTCGCCGCTGTTGCTGCGCCATTGGTCATCGTTTCTGTGGATCAGGGTAGGTCTCTTCACGCTGTATCACAGCACACTGTGGAGCTCAAGACAATGAAGCTAATTGTTCCGCGGCCACCCCCGCCCGCGTCTGTGGAAAGCTCAGCGCCATCGATCCGAGCGACGGCCGCAACAGTGCGCATCCCATCCCCACTGAAGGTTGCGTTGACAGCTCGATCGTACGACATTGCCGACTGCCTCGTGCAAAGTGGAGCAGACTGTACAGAAGCGTACGTGGCAATCGTCTCGCCCACGTCCTCACGGCTTGTGTCGACTGCGTAGCGACAAGGTTTGGGAAGTGTTTCTGCGCGACCCGGCGAGCCGACCGACGCTGGCCAAGTGGGGGGCCCTCTGGCTCCACTCGGACGTGTTCGCACCCGGCTTGTTCTCTGCATTGTGCTGTCCTTGGCGGCTAAATACGACGTGCATGGCTTCTGCCGACGACGACACCGAACAAGGTCTATGCGCGCTGCTGGAGCTGGCAACGTCTCTGGGTGTGTATCGCACTTGGCGGGGCGTATTCGACGCCGCAATGTCCGCGTTTCGTTGCCGTCGACTCCGCCTAGCCCATCAACTGCTCGTGCTTCATGCATCTCAAGGCGGCAACGTTTTTATCACTGGGGTACTACACCTTGCCAGCACGTCGCATTGGTCCCTGTTGTCATGCTTCATGGCGTAGGCGCAGTCGTGGCTTTGCGTGGCTGCAGAGAACGCGTGTCTGGCCAGTTGTCGGTGGCTACAAGCACACAACTATCCGTTCTCTGTTGCCGACAGCCCTGCTATCTCTGCTTTGTTGTCCAAACGCTGCCGCGACCGACGTGCCCAAGATGTAGAGGCGGCGCAAACACGGACTGATGTGTGCCTCTGGCTGCTCGAGCACTTCTCGGAGTTGTATCAGGTGGGCGCTTTTCACCAAGTCCGTGGTGGTTTCAGCGCCCTCGTAGCCCGCGTTTCAATTGCACTTGGATCGGGCTTTTGCCAACGGGTACATGGCGGTCGCGGTGGCGTTGGTCGCCAAGATGGACGATACGGTCCATACAATTCATGGCGGTCTTGCCGTGGAAGCAAGTCGTGGAAACGAAGCGATTCTCATCTCACTGCACTCCAAGCGACTCTGGTCACACTGCGACGTTGGCCTTACGCTAGCCGTCCGATTCAACATGTCGCAGAAAGTTCTCCGGCAACTCATTCAACGTGGGGCTCAGCCGTCCCGTACCGCCACAGTCGACGGTTCGTCATGTCTTGGAAATTGTACACTTCATCGGATGCCCTAACTATTGCCAACTGCACACAGGCAAACCTGCTATTTTGTGGGCCATCTCGTATCGTCGCCTCGATGTTATTCGAGTCCTGTTGGTGCTGGACCAAGCCGAGTGTCTCTCTGCGACGGACGGTCGAGGTGTGCGCCGCCGGAGGGAATCAAACGTTTGAGCGCATGACGTAGGCCGGGACGTGCTGTTTTACGCCATGCGCACCAACAGTGTCAGTCTCGTGGCATTGCTGTGGACTCGCCAACTACCTTCGTGGAACGTGTCCGCGGCCGTGGTTGGTGCCGTGGAAGCAAATGCTGTCGACGTGCTGAAATGGATGGCTGCGACGGATCCACAAGTCTTTTTGGAGAGCTGTGCAGTCGACTCACTGGCCGCCACGACGGTAAGGTGTCGGTGGGACGTACTGCAACGTCATCACAATTGTAGCCACACGTTCCGTCGCTGGAGCATCTTGCGTGTTCCAGAGGGTACTTGGAGCTTGCGACGTGGCTGAAGGTGAATGCCGGCGAGAGGGGCAAGTGCGCGTCATTCTTGGACGGGTGCACACCTACTCAACTTGCACGGTGCGCGGCAGATGCTACGATACTTTCACGTGTGGCATGCTCATCCGAGAATGCTAGGCTGTTTGGCTACGCTATTAAGCCATCCTCCAACGATCCCCGCGACCATACAGTCGTATTGAATGGCATACTGAGGCGCATCCTAGCCACTCGCGCGCCGTCATCACTGGAGCTCGCCACAGTACACGTAAGCACAGGATCATAGTCCAAGCCTCGAACAACCTGCCAACGCGTTGGCTTCTCACTTACGTAGTCGTTCGATCCCTGGCGGCAAATCCGTCCTTCGTGGCTCGAAGACCACTTCACAAAGCTGCATACCGCGTGCGCCATGAATTCTGTCGCCCTTGTTACGGCGCTGGCCTCTTGTGGGGTGTCTTTGCTAACCCCATGCGGTCCCTTCGACATACCACCGCTCAACTACGCCGCCCATTTGTACGCTGTATCTGAGTCGCGAATGTCTTTGTTCATTCCATGTAGTGGAGCGGTAGATGTGATCAAGTGGTTGCTACGTCAAGGCGTCGTCGACGACGGATCCGCGTTGAGGCGTGCAGCTTCTCGGTGCCAAGGCATGGCCATGATGGCATTGCTCGATGCTGAACCTCCTGCAACATCGTTGGGTCGACTGCATGGCGACGGATCGTCTCCGACACTGCTGCACTTGGTCACTCGTGCACACTCACATGCCCCTGCCTTGATCGACACCCTGGTCGACACTTACCACGCCGACGTCGATGTGGTGGTAAAGCATGTCGACCTGCAGCAACTTGGGAATGAGAACGGATGGGGTAGGATGGTCACGGGCTGACTGCTCTTGTATACGCCATGGTGTGTGGAAATGTCCCAGCTATGCTGCATCTATTGCAGCGCGGTACGTCTGCGCTGACCTTTGCACGTTAGCGTTGTTGATGGGAATGTGCGATATCAGGTGCCCGCCTCGAAGCCGAGTACGAAGGCCAGTCGGGGTTTTACTACGTTCTGCATCTCGTTCCGTCGGACGTGTGGCGGTGTTTCTTTCAAGGTTGTCGACATTCCATCCACCGAATCGTGTATGATCAAGGTTGTAGCGTTCTTACGCGACTCTCTCCATGGCCGGTCGTTGCACTGCACGGAATCGTGTGGCTGCAAATCGTTTGAAGGGGCCATGGACGCCACAACGTGCGCGTTTTGCAGCCATCCATTCGACCTCCACTCGCAAGTGCCCCTGCCCCCATGGCACCACGATGTGTCCGATACATACCACCTCCAGACAAGGTCCGAGTCTTCCCGAGGGTCAGCGAGCCCTCGATCGGCCATAATGGACAGCGACGACGGCTTGGACCATCCAATCCCGTCCAATTCCACTGACCATGTACTTGACGAAAACACGCCATCTGCATGTCTTGACGCACCTCATGGAGTTGCCAGGCCCACAAAGCGCAGCCACGTACCTCCCCCGTGCCGGACCATGCGGTACCCTACGTTGGGCGCTTGTGCGAACCGAATCTTCGCTCCATTGCCGCCATTCGGTTTAACCACGAGATATTGACCCATGGCCTATCGCTCAGCGCCCCACCCGACCTGTTTACCCCACACGAAGACGAGGATGTCGCTCAACGCGGGTTCGTCATTACCGTTGACGAGGCGCCAGCAGCATGGCCGTGGGAGATTCCGCCTGCACCAAGTCCAGCCCCCCACAACACCGTCTCCATCAACCTCCCCGCGCATGACAAAGGTCCATGGCAGGTTCTCGTGGGTGCTGATCACCTCCACTGCTGGTGTGTGCAACACGACGTGTGCACTCGCTTGTCGGCGACGCGCCAGCGATTGGCAGTGTTCAAATGGCAACAACATCGACGGTCGCCACAGCTTGTCCATCCAACGACGTCGTCCCTGGATCACGTGTTGGCTGCTTCGTTTCAACACTGGCGTTCCAGTGGTGATAGAGCCACGACCGTGCCCCGCACACGCGACCAGCTCGTGCGGCTCAAGTTGTTTGTACTGCACTGGCGCCAATCCAAACTTTTACAAGCGTTTAGTCGGTGGAAGATGCGCTTTTGCAAGTCCATCGAGCCATGCGACCGTGGGGGTGCACGATGGTCGGCGCACATGGCTGGCAAAGCACCAAAAACATGAAGCGGATGGCCATGTTGTGGTAGACTGGGCAATGCACCGCGGAATTCATTAAATACATTGATATTGGACTTCACCACGCTCTTCGAGTACACAAGTGTAGCTGCCAGGGAGGGCGGTGAAAACGAGCATGCAGGCGTCGACGTACGAAGGAATCTACAACTTCTAAACAAGGCAGTTCTCCTCGGGCAGCCACCTAGAGCACACTGAGCGCGCGCTGGGTGTCGAGGCCGTTCATGGGAGTGGTGTGCCCCAGCACGACAATCCCGGTCGAGTCGCGTTGGACAAAATCGTTGCGTTTTTCGCGAATGTTGCGTTTTCGGATGTACGCGACAGCGAGCACGGTCGCGACGACGCCTGTGATCGCGACCGCCGCAATCAAGATGATCAAGGACGGGGTCATGGTTTCTTCTTCCGGCGACGCTTGCGCAGAGATGCCGACAGAGCCGTTGCCTGACTCGGTGGCTGGAGTCGTCCGCGGCACGCCATCGTTCGAGGTAATCGCGTTCGAATCGCCGGAAGCGGTGACTTCCGGAGTGGATGCTGTCGTGGGCTCGACGGAATTGGTTTCGTCCGTGGTCGACGTGGTTGTCGGGGACGTCGTCGTGGCGTCACTGGTGGTCGGAGCAGGAGCTTGCGTTGCAGGGGCGTCCGTTGGCGGAGGGCTTGGAACGGACGGAGCTTGCGTCGCAGGGGCGTCAGTTGGCTGAGGCGGAGGGCTTGGTGTCGACGGGCTCGGGGCAGGCCACGAGTCGCCACCGATCTTTGGAAACCCCTTTTTGTCGACAAAGTAGCCGTTGTCCCAGAGCGAGGTGAATCCTTGGGGAAAGAACTCGCCAGCATTGGGGCCAACTTGGGCATCGGGCGTGCGCCCATTGCACACGCCGTCGCTCTCGCCAGGTACCTTGAGCCACAAGTTGAAGTCGACGAGGGAATGGCCAGTGTCCGAGCCCGGGGGGGCGCCGATCCCGGCCGAAGCTGAGTTGCACCATTCGTCGCCGATCGATCCACGGTAGTTGCGAGATGTGTCAAACGCGCAATGAAGGCCGCCCGTGGCCGCCGAGTAGAACTCGCACGTCGAAATGAGCTGGGCGTTGGTCTTGTAGTTGGACGTGTTGATCGCGATCCCGTGAAGTCGACCCGCAGACTTGAGGTCGCTCAAGATTTTAGCGGCTTCGTCGCGCTTCGACCACGACGCCACGTCCATGTACACCTTGGCGTTGGGGTTGCCGGCCGAGATGAGTCCGAGGGCGAGTTTGAGGTTGTCGAGGTAGTTGAATTGCTTGGCGCAGTTGTTGTTGGAGAGGAGTCCGATGGCGTCCGGTTCCAGCACGTACACAACTTCACGGGAACCGACGCGGGCCACCAAATTTTGCACCCACGCCTTGTACATGGCAGCGTCTTTGTTGGTGCCGCCGCTCGAGAACCCGTCGGCGCAGTCCTTGTTTGGGAGGCCGTAGATGACAATCGAAGGCACTTGGGAGCCCGTGCACTTTTGAAGGAGGTCGCTGACCGAGTCGCCCCATCGATCCGTGTACCATGTCGCGACCGCGTATTTGCTTAGTTCGTTGATGGCACCGTGAAGCTTGGGGTTGGATGCCGCCGCTTGAGTCCACGAGTGGGGCGGGATGGCATTGCAGATGGTGGTCGCGGAAGTGCCTGCCTGCAACACAGACAAGGCCAGCGCCGTCGACCCGACAAACGTTTTCATCGTGACGTACGAATGTGGAAAATGGGGTTGCCATCCCGCGCCGTTTCGAACGTGTCGCTCCGATTTTACCGGTGCGACTTCAACTTTGCATAGGCCACCATACTTTAATCAAGATACACAAACAGCAAAGGCGCAACCCGCCATGTTCCGGCCGGGTCCTTTAAATAGATTCCATGGATTTTGATTCACGACGACATCATGCATCACATCATGCATTCAAATCATGACGTTTTATACGATCATTCATCATAATGCATTTGGTCGTGCTTGGAATGTGGAAATACGACGACTGTCCTGTCGACTGTCGTAAGACTTTAAGCTTCATCCTTGTATGCACAAGTGTACCAGAGAACGTACACCATCGGGTTTGCAGCCGAATTTGGCCACGCCTGCTGCCATGACCAGGATAAATATTCGGTCATCCGTCGGGAATCTCTCGATCGTGTCCCAGCTTTGCCAATCGTGGAAGAGAGTCCTGGCGAGATGTTTGCACGTCCATGTAAAAGCATAAAATTCGTCGACATGTATGCTGCAGCCTCGCTTACGGCACAACCTCAACAGCTTTGGCTCTTTCTTGTGCGCTCGGAATGCTTAGAAGCTGCACAGAACGACCATCCAGATTTCTTTAATGCCAATACATACAGACTGTGCAAACATTTCGGGGACTTTCGCCCAAACCGCGGAGAGGACGTCCGACTCGTCCCCAAAGCAAATCAGGTTGTCATACGCGGCTTGCTTGCTCGCGGAAAAATTGGCTGGGATGTACGGACGAACCCATTGTTTGTAGTGCTTTGGGCAAACGCACGACCACAACATGCATGATGTGATGCAACTACACCGTTTGATGATTCATCGTGGCTTGTTGTCTCAACCCATTTCCGAGTCTAAGGGCGGCAGCTAGCGCAATGGCGGCGTTCGGCCCTGCGTCTCCATGTGCCTTTCATAACTAAACAGGATGAAGTAGGTGGGGGTTGTGTCTGAATGGCCAGTGAGGTTGCGCGCGGAGGTCCATCCATAGCGCAGTCGATGGCACTGCGTGGTTCACTTTCGTTTGACGACTGGTCGAGGGGTTGCGACAGGCGCCATGGACGCTGCCGACGTCTTCTTGGTCGGTGAGCTGGGGGTATCGGAAGGAGGAAGGTCCCGTGGAATTGCCGACGACTGCTGCATTTCGCGCTGGTAATGTTGTAACCACGCCTACAACACACGACAGCTATTCAGCACCAGTGTTGGGTGCAACTTGATTCTACGTCGTCGACGTACGGCATGCTCCTTGACTTTGGTTTGAAATTGCTGGGCTTCGTCGAGGATTTGTGCTCGCTCCTTTGTCTTTTCTGGAAGCGAACTAGCGTTTTCCTTGGGTGCGCCGTATATTGCTGGTGGGACAGCAAGTGTGGCCGCGGGTGGGGGCCGATAGACTGGTATTGCTGAGAACTTGTCGTTGGCTGCGACCACCCCACCCGTTGTCGTCGTTGATACCGTCGGCCCCGGGGCTAGTGAAGGTTGCTGCGTTGGTGGCTGGACGCTTACCATCGCCAATGGGGGTTGCTTGGGCTTGTCAGCTGCACGTCTGTCCGGCCCGCGCGGTGACGGCGACGGCTGGTCCACTTCAAGACCAGCAAGGACTGCGGTTGTGACTGTGGCGCTGGTGGACTTGGCTACCATGTCGAGTGTGTGGCTGAGGAGTTTCTGAGCGTCCGGGGTGAGTGCGAGCACTTCGGACGCATGGAATGCACATCGGAGCTTGAATTCGACGTGAAGTGGCATTGCGGTCGTTTCTGGTGGCTCGCCACTGGCCGTGTCGTCCGCCCAAAACGAGTAGATGAGGTTGCCTGGAGCAGGAATATGCGTGAGCATCAGTGAATTTGCCGCAGTGGAGAGAGATTGCAATGGTCAACATGGTCGTCCCCGTGCGCCACGTACTGACCTGGGAAGGGCGTGCCGTGCAGCTTCGCCTGGCCACCGCCGAGAAAAAAGTACGAGTGACTGTCGTAGAGAACAGCGCGAGGAACGGTCGTGCTACCATGCAAATCGGTAACTCGTAGGAGGAGTCGCCCGACGCCCGCGGCGCTTTCAAGCACTAGTTGTTCGTGCGCCCGGAGGATGAACACCACGGGGGGTTGGGCAGGAAGAAGCGTCAGCGTGTAGGATTTGACAAAGCAGTGGATTGCCGTCAGCGATGAACCAGTAGCAGGACTCCTGGACGGCGTGGGGGCGCTGGGGGATATGGGGGGTACCGACACTGCTACCTTTATGGGAGAGGATGCAGACGGCAACGCGGGTGCCTCGTTGTTGGAAAACATTTCAGCCAGCACGTCAAAGTATGCGGCTTCGTGATGGAGGCCCGCCATGCTCAGCGAGTCTGGCACGTGGAACGTACCAGTGCGATACCAGTCGAGAATGACAGCGAAGTAGTTCGGATTGCGATCGACAAAGATGGCGGCAACAGGGGAAGCGAATGGGCTGCTTTGCTGTTGTTCGCAGCCGCACAGGAGCAACCGGTGGAGGCGTTTGTTTGGGTATTTCTCAACCACCCGTTGCTTGCATCGAAAAATGGTCCCGCCCACGTCAAACGTCACAATTCCGGACGACGAATCGGCCGCGTCGTCGGTGACAACGACGTCGGGATTTGTCATGGCTGTGGCAACCACCGTCGCAAGAGATGGCGCCCGCGGCCGTGCAGGCCGAGCAGGCGCGGTGGGTTTCGATGGAGACGACAGCGTGGCGTCACCACGACCACGTTTCTTCACGGTATCGTGGCACTCCGGTGGAAGAAGACTGATTGTAGAGTTGATCGGGGCAGCGGACTCGAGAGAGTTCGGTTGAGCCCACAACGCGTTGGAGGTGGCATTTTCGACAGATGCCGAGTACATGCCCACGTCCGCTGGTCGTGGGAGTGGTCGTCCAGGTGGAGTGTCTCGACCTGCATGGTCGTGGCGAGACGGCTGCGAATGCGGTGGCTGTGCGCCCTGGGCATCTACTCCTCCGTCGTCGCAATGGAGACTCGACTCTTGTTGCAGCTTGTCCTGTTGGTACATGGCTTCCAGAGCAAACACAGGCACTCCTTGTGCCGCCACCATGTCCATGGACGGGGACCGAGTTGGCACGTCTGCCGCCTCGGCCATCCCGTCTGTCGTCGAAACGGTCTGTGGAAGCTATATTTGATTCACGATTGCCTTCCGTGAAAACCGTGCCGTTTCAGGCTCGCTCGCCGCCGAATGCGGCTGGACAACTTGCCGTCGCCGTCGTCGATGCCGCCGCTGGACGTGCCCGCCCCACCGTGTGGAAAGAAGAAGCAACAACAAAACCATCAGCAACCGAAGCGCGACGTCCGTTCGGAAATCGTCGTCGACTCGGCATCCGTCATGCCATCGTTGGACGGGGCGCCATCGCAATCGACCATGTCCCACCAACGCCAGCGTCCACAAACTCGGCCTTTACCCCAACAACACGACATCGGGCAGTGCATCTTTCGGGCTATCGAAGCAAGCTTGGTCGCACCGGACGGCGAGTACGTTGCTCCGTGCAACTTTTTTCTTTCGTCGTAACCATGGCGGCGTGCAGGGTCCACGTCGACACATTTCGGTCCCACGTGGCGACGTTCCAGTGCATCGACATGAAAGCAACAACGCTGCTCGAGATGATCTCGACCGTGCGAGGGGCACACCTACCTCGGGTAAGTCCATCGTTCACACCGGTTTCCCTGGTCAACTGACGATGCGCCGCAGGAAATGCTTCAAAACGCATGGCTGCGCATCGTCGAGGAAGAGCGACAAGACCTGCTCGAACTCAGCACGTCGACGCCGCCACGATCTCCTCGTGCGACGTCACCTACGTCGACGCCTCGCAGTGGCCGACCAAGCACCAGGTGAACCATCCTCTCTCGACCTTTCCCGAGGTCGTTGCCCCATGGCTCACGTGTGCATTGTAGCGGCGCTACGACCAAGCTGTCGCTGGCAAAGTCCAAGCGCAAGCAAGTGGAATACGACGCCAGGCTGCTGGCAAACCGGTTGGCGCTGTTGCAGCAGGAAGAGATCAAAGCGTGGCGGAAAATCGAGCAAACCCGGGAGAAAGCGGCGCAGATCCTCGAGCACCGCGAAGAGATTTTCAAGAAGCAGCAAGACAAACACATGCTCCTCCACGAGAAGGAGCAAAACGTCCGCGTCGCGACGAAGAAGCACAAACTTGCCGCCAAGGTACGTCGTTGTCACCCACAGCAGTGATCCCAATGCACCCTTGCGCAAACGAAATCGTGCTGGGGTGCATGGAACTCGGTGGAAAGTGGCGATGTGGAGTGATCTTTCATGCCATCTTTCCCGTCCATGCCTTGTAGACGTCGGTGATTCGGAAGCGCCAAGCCGCCATCAGCGTCATTTCGAAAAAGTACCAAGAAGTCGAGTCGGTCAAGTTGGAGCGGAGGCGGCTCAAGCAAGCAAAGGAGCAGCAAGCGATGGACGAAGTGAATAAAGCCAAGGAGAAGAGGCAGCGCGTGCGGCAGCAGGAAGATGAGGTGGGCAGCGCACGTGCCGCCAACAGGATCCACCTTCGACACTCTAGATGCGCAAGAAGAAGCTCCAGGAAAAATTAATGGTGGAAAAGCAAGTCGTCGCCCGGTACGTCCGACAGACTCCACGGCGTGCTCTGGCGCAGGTTGCGACTCATGCTGCGCCGTGAGTAGATACCGAAAGAGTGTCGAAGACGAGGAGATGCAGCTGCGGGAGCAGCAAAAACGGGTGGCGGAGATGGAACGCGCCGAAATGGAGTTGATTCAACGGCTCCAAAGCACGCAGCTCCTTCAACGACAAGCGTACGACGAGCTCGAAAAGGCGCTGGTGCGAACCGACGTGTCAACGTAACAGAGCATGCGCGATGAGTCCGTTGCGGCTCGTATGGGACGGACAAAACCACGTCGTCGGGCGTCGAGATCTAGGTACTGACGACGTGCGCGTCGCCGCATTCGCTCTCTCTCTATGGCCCTCGTACTCTTAAAATTGAGCGATCCATTGTCCGTCGCGAACAAGTTGATCCAAGGGAGCTCGTACAGACTACGCGCATGCCCATGCCACGTACAGGTCGCAATTGCACGTCATGCCTCGCAGCCTGCACAGATCCACTTGTCGAGGTCATGGCGTCTTGTGATGGGCACATTGGGCGGTCCTCGTGAGCTCGATCAAGGAGCATTATCGAAGCAACCGATTGCGAAGAGCTGCACACACTGAGCTCGACCACGGTGATCTGTGCTAGGAGCAAGTAGCTTGTTCCATTTGCCTGGCTACATCACTTGGTCAAAGCAAAATGCCTTCGTCTCGAGAAGAAGCAGAGAAGTTGCTGCTTCGTTTCGAACGCGTGATGACTGGCGTGGAGGGCGTACGAATGCGGGGAAGGAGTGCCTGCCTTCTCCTGGACTGCATGCTCTCCTCTTCCACACGCTTCCTTTCTCGGACGGTCACCCAGCGCCAGCCAGCCACACGCAAACACGGCCCGAGGAAAGCACGCCATGCTTCCGATTCGGTTGTCCCCCACGGAACGCACGGATCCAATCGCGTGGAAAGATTCGACGTGAATCCCGTTCGCATGGCTCGATTGCCAGCGCCCTTCGCCTCCACCGCCGGCGTCCAACCTCCATCTTGTGAGATCGAATACATAATATATTTCACAGCACACGAACGACAGTGTTTTATCTCGAGTTGGTATTGCCGTTGCCTCGCTTGCCCGAGTTTTGCCACTTGGCGAGCTTGGGCAATTGGTGGCGATCGGCTTCGCCGATGCGGGCCATCTTGTTCATCTTGCGCTGTTGCTTGAGCATGACCTTCTTGCTCTTGGCCTGCATGGCCTCGTCGCGGAACCCGCTTTCGTCGCGCGGCGCGACGCGGCTCTGGGATCGACCTGTCTTGGACTTGGATCGGCGCGCGACCGACGTCGACCGCATGCGGGAGCCCTTGTCGTCGTCGCTGCCGCCTTCCATGTCGACGTCGTCTACTTCATCGCGAGTGCGCTTGCGGCCGCGTTGCTCTTCGTCCACTTCGTGCTTCTTGGCCTTGGCCGCGGCGTGGTTGAGCTTCGACGTGTCGACGCCGAGTGCATCCAAGCTGTCCTTGTAGCCATCGAGCGTGCGGCGCATGTGCTTCCGTGGCAAGACCGATCGGTTCTTGTTCTTTGCTTGGCGGTGTTCAGCTACCATGACCGACTTCTTGTCGCGAATCGCGCGGAGGTTGGCCTTGTCCTCTTCGTCCAAGTCGGACACGATGTCGTCGTCTTCAAGGTCCTGGTTGGCGGCAGCCTCGGCGTCCAGCGCCTCCTCTTCGCGCTCGAGCTCTTCGAGACGGGCCAGAATGTCCGGGTCGATGTAATCGGCCAAGTTCTTGCCGTTCCAGATCTCGGGCATCACATCGTGGCGCCACTCCTTGTTCTTCAGCATGCCTTCGTAGTGCTCCGTGTAGTCCATCGCGTACACGCCAGCGCCGCCGTTCTCGACCATCTTTTGCTTTTGCGTCTTGCGCGGCACAATAGTGCCAGGTTCGTCGCGTGCCTTGAGCACGCTCTCTGGGATCGATACATCACGGACGACATCGTCGCGGGCAACTGGCATGGCGACCGTAAGGCGGTTGAGGACATCTCCGACCTTCTTTCCCTTGACCTTGGTGCTCACGCGGTGGTTGAGGAGCTCGTCGCACGCGTAGTTTTTGACCGTGCTCACATTCTCCTCCGAGTGATTGCTCATGGTGAAAATCTTGGCGTTGGACGTCGACGCGGCCTCTTCGATTGCTTCTTTGTGGTGCGCGGGAAGCATCTCGTACGGCATCTGGTCGATCTTATTGCACACAAGCAGGAGTGGCTTGTTGGCAAAGAGCGGCCGGATGTTGGCAAATAAACTGAGCTGCTGCTCGATCGTGAAGCCGCATTGCTCGGAAATATCAAGGAAAAACAGAACCGACGCCTGCAAGTGCGCCAATGCTGTCACGGCCTGCATTTCAATCGTGTTGCGCTGCTCGAGGGGGTGATCCAAGATCCCCGGCGTATCGATCACTTGCCATCGCAGGTACTTGTAGTCCATGTGGCCCACGTACAGCGCCTTGGTCGTAAATGCGTACGGCTGGACGTCCACGTCGGCGCGCGTCACTTTGTTCATAAAGCTCGACTTGCCGACGTTCGGGAAACCCGTGACAAGGAGCGTGCGGGTGTTGGGGTCGATGCTCGGGAGACGGCTCAAGTGCTTGCGCACTTCCTCGAGGTAGTCCAAGCTGCTCTTGTTCTTCTTGAGAAGGGTGCAGATACGACCGAGGGCGGCGCGCTTGAGCTGCTTGCACCGGTACAGCGTGTCGCCATACTTGATCATGCGGACGTAGTCCTTGGCGATGTTGTCGACCAAGGCGCGGGCCGTGTTGATTTGGCCGAGCGCGAGCTTGTAGTGGTCCTTGTCGTACAAGATGTTGATCAGGTCGGCGTAGAACGGGTGGATGTCGTCGAGACGTGGAAAGTCATCGATGATCTGACTGAGCTTTTCCTGGCATGTTTGCTGCGTGAACTTGACCTTGCGCATGTAAAACGCGCGGATCCGAGAGATGGCATAGGTCGGGTGGATCACGGTCGGCGTCTTGCGCTGCGTCCGCGTGAGAATGATGTCGATGAAGTTGCTCGCCGGCGGCACCGTCTGGATCTTCTTGAAGTTGTACACGACCATCGCTTCCTAGCTCGGTGGCGTTCCGCTTGGCCAAACTCGAGATGCGCTCGCGGTTGACTGGAGCACCATCGGCGTAACGATTGGCTTGCACGGGGAGGCCCATGGTTGCATCGGATTGGCCAAAACAAGTCTGATAAAGACAAAGGATTGGCCTTCACGTGAAAATGCGTCCATTACCCACCAATCAAAAGCCAGATTGACCCGATCGACTGCCAATAGACACTCGATGTTATATTTATAGGATGTTGGTGTCGCAAAGTGGTCGGTGCTACTACGGCACTTGGGGTCGACGGGAGCGTGTTCATTCAACAGCACGCACGATCATCTCTGGGGTACAGGGGGAAAACCTGGCGCTCGGTGGACCCTCCTTGCTCTGTCATGCACCATGCTTGCAAAATCGAAACAAACGAATCCGTCGAGACCAGTTCATTTTGAATCCGAGTCATGTTTGATGCCCAAAGCGAGACGAAATGCTCAACGCTGCCGCAGAGAGTGAGTATACCTGTGCGATTGTCATTAAATCGTATCAGAATCAATGCCCTTGTCCGTGTGACCACGAGCGAGTACACCTCGTCCTTCTTCCATATCCGGTCCCTGTACTCAAAGTCTGCAACGCTTGCTAGTGAACAAAGAGGTATCGTCCAGCCCCAGGCAAAAGCTCCACCTGCCTCATGGCACACATTTGCAGTGCTCATCCACCTTTCCTTGAGCACTTCCAAAACGCGGTCATAACTTCCATCTGTCGGGTTGCAGAGCGGATGGAAGTTTTGACCGCGTTTTGGAAGAGCTGAGGGAAAGACAACTGCATTTCCTTCTTTTGAGTGGGGGCTGATACATTCCCACATGAACGGCCATATCTTTGGACCAGTACCCTCTACTGCGTACAGGATGCACTACGTGTTGTAAGACCGTTCGATGGCCTTACTATCGTTGCTTGTACAGAGGACGGCACGATCCATTGACCCTTCGAACACTGTACATCGGTTTTACTACTTATACGTTCGTACAAATTTACCTTTTACGTGTCATGGTAATGAAGCAGTTGGACGAAAATGGACAAACATTCACCAGATTGTGGTAGACTACCACTCCAAATTTGGACAACGTTGTAATTTGTACGGTTCTTTCACCCGGCAAAATCCGCGTTGAGCACACTATACAAATTCCCTTACTACGATTCGTTCAATTTCACCAAAACGATGAAGTGTATTTTGATCACTCGATGTTGTCGAGAA